TCCCTTTCTCCTTTCCCTTTCCTTCCCTTGCCTCCCAGCCTCAGCTGGGGCTCTGCCCCACAGCCCCTGCCCCTCCTGGCTCTGGTGCTGCCCCTGTTCAGGGCAGGGGCTGAGCAAAGGCTGTGGGTGGGGCTCAGCCCTTCCCAGGAGGCTGGATTTGAGGGTGGCTGCCAGCAGCATGTTGCCAGGTTGTGGTGTTTCAGTGCTGCTGGATGAGTCCTGTGCTGAGAGGAGCCTTCGTGCTCTTCATGCTACACCCACTGCTGACTGCCAGCAGCTGGAGTGTCCCCACGTGTCCCCTGCTGGCAAGCACTGCAGCAAGCACAGTCCCAGGGCTCCAGGCTGGGGCTGAGCCTGGTGAGATGCTCCCAGGAGGCAAGGTGCTGCTCCTGAGGGCACGTCTGTTGGGACACCTCTGGGACACCACATCCCAGTAACTCCAAAGCCTGGCAGAAAAATCAGGTTTATGGGTTTATGTGACCTCTACCTGCTGCCCGTGCCCTGGGATTTTGGAGGGCTGGGTTTCTGCACTGCCCTCCCCAGCTGCAGGTCTGGCAGGTGAGGGGTGAGGGACCATTGTCCTGCTGGTTGGGACAGCAGTGTCTGGTCCTGCCCTTGCTGATTGTCACCGTGCTAGGACATGCCCTTGACTTTTTTTGAGCTTTGCTGGGAATCACAAAATCCTATTTTTTTTTTTTTAACTTCTTTTACTGCCTCCTTCCATAATTTCATGATTTTTCCAAAATGGGCCATCTGGTCAAGAGAACAAAGGGCCATCCAGGTCATGCTCCAGCCTGCTGCCTTCCTCACCTCAGTCTGCACTGGGTCCCTCCTCTTCTCTTCTCTTCTCTTCTCTTCTCTTCTCTTCTCTTCTCTTCTCTTCTCTCCTTCTCCTTCTCCTTCTCCTTCTCCTTCTCCTTCTCCTTCTCCTTCTCCTTCTCCTTCTCCTTCTCCTTCTCCTTCTCCTTCTCCTTCTCCTTCTCCTTCTCCTTCTCCTTCTCCTTCTCCTTCTCCTTCTCCTTCTCCTTCTCCTTCTCCTTCTCCTTCTCCTTCTCTCCTCTCCTCTCCTCTCCTCTCCTCTCCTCTCCCTTTCCCCTGTGTTCAGTGCTAAAATTCAGTAGCTAAAGGCTGTTCTCCTGTTTTGGACAAACCCCACAAGGCCTGATGACACTTGAAGGTGCTTTTCACTTCTGTCCCTTTTGATCTTTAAAATAAAGGCTGCTTGGATCCATTCCTCTCCCCATTTTTGGCTTCACTTCTGTCCTCTTCAGGATGGGTGTCCACCCCTAAGAGCTGAATCCTTCCCTAAACCCCTCCTGTCTGCTCAGAGCAAGCATTGCTGGCTGCTGGCTTGGTGTGCCCAGGATTGCTCCTGTCGAGGCTGAGCAGCTCCTTCCCTGTCTTGGCTCAACTTCTCCAGCACCAGCTCCTCTTGTCTTCTCCACTTCTCCTCTATTCTGGGTGCCCATAGAGCTGCCACCTGCAGATGAGGCTCACTTGGGGCAACATCCCTGCTGTCAGTGGATGAGGATGGGGAGAGGGAGGTCCCTCATTCCCCTGGGGGACAGGAGGGGATCCCCTTCTCCATCCTTCTCCATCACCTCTGTGAGGGAAAACTCCAGCCAGGAGCTGGGGGGGGCTGCAGCTGCCGTGGGAACAGGGTTTGGTGGTGGCACAGAGCTCAAGGGTGTCCCTTCCCTGGCAGGTACATGGTGGATGCTGCTGACCAGGAGAAGATAGAGGCCTCCAAGAATGAACTGCACAACCTGCTGGACAAGCCACAGCTCCAGGGCATCCCGGTGAGCTGTTGTGATGGACCCTCCCCAGCTGCTGCTCCCCAGGCTGGTGGCTGTCAGGGTTTGCAGCCTGGATCTCACAGAGCAGCTCTGGGGAGGGGACACCCTTCCTTGTGGGGTCCCCTTCCCTGCTGCACTCCTGCAGGAGCTGGTGCAGTGGCACATTCTAGCCCAGGGCTGGGCCAACGAACAGGGAAGGGAGCTTTAGAAGAGAGCAGAAAACCCTCTTGATGTTGGAGATCTGTCCTCTCACCTGAATTTGCTCCTTATTTATGGTGGGATGTAAGGTCTTGTCTCCTAGGAGAGTGGCTGCTGGGCTGGGACCTTTGCAGGAGGTGAGCTGTGGCAGCAGTGCAGGGCACACCCTGCGTGCCAGGGCACTTACAGAGCCCCCAAAATCAGCATCCTGTGAAAGGAGCTCATTGAGGATCTTGCCACAGATCCCAAACGTTCACTGCCAACTCAGTTAAGCTCCCAACATCACACACTGCCTTTGCAGCCCTTCTGAGAGCTCTGCTTTTTGAGAACGAGTCTCCAAATTTAAACTGGGGGATGCTGCAGAGGCCCCAGGTCGCCCTGGGAGGGTCATGGCAGCCTCAGTGCTGTCCCTGTCGGGTGACAGTCCCGTGGTGCTGTGCTCCAGAGGGATGAACAACTCATTTTTTTTCCCCCTACATAGTCTGAGGACACCTTTGTGGATGTGAGAAGCCTTGAAGTAAGGAGAGATCAGTGGATGGTGCAAACAGCCCTTGGCTTTTTGGGCTGGCTGCCCACAGAGGGCAGGTTCTGCACAGCACCCACTCCTCTCCCTTCCCTGGTAACTGGGTTTAGCCATTTCACTGGGTTTTTTGCTCAAAAGCCAGCAAAAGGCTCCTGGGAGAACATCCTAGATGGCACAAGAGATGCTGGTGCCCTTCAGAGAGGATGTGCTGGGGGCCAGCTCCTCACTGAGGTGTGCACAGGAGAGGCTGTGTGGAGGGTAATTAAGGCTGTTAATTGAAGTGCTCTGCCCTCTGTTTGCCCGCTGAGGGGCTTTCCTCTGTCTGGGCACACCCAGGGCTGCCTTGCATCTCAAGCAGGGTCCAGTTCTGGGTGGCAGAAGCAGGGTCCTGCCTGGTCTGGTGGCCAGGAGCTTCAGGTGTCCCCTCTACCCCCGACAGGTCCTAGTCCTGGGGAACAAGCGAGACCTGCCGGGTGCCTTGGATGAGAAGGAGCTCATTGAGAAGATGTAAGTGCCCCCCACCCCTTCCTGCCCACGTGTCCCCAGCCAGGGTGGCATGGGGGTGTCTGGGGCCCGGTGGGGACAGCTCTGGGCTGGGAGGTGCCAGGGACGGGTCCCACATGCCACAGGGTGGCGATGGAGCCCAGCCCAGCTCCTGGTGCCCAGCTCCTGGGCACCCCGTGGTGCTGCCGTCGCCCTCCCCGGGCTCTGCCTGCTGTGGGTGCTGTGCCCTGCAGTGGGGGTGGGATCCTGCTCCAGTGCCCCCCACCCACACTGCTGGCAGTGGTGCCAGGGACAGGGGCACTGTGCCAACCTGATAACAACCTCCCAGTACTGAGAAAGCAGGGGAGGGACTGTTCACAAGGGTTGGGAGGGACAGGATGAGGGGTCCTGGCTCTGAGCTAGAAAAGGGCAGATTTAGGTTAGATGTCAGGAAAAAGTTCTTCAGTCTGAGGGTGACAGATCCCTGGAACAGGCTGCCCAGAGAGGTGGTGGAGGCCCCATCCCTGGGGACATTCAGGGTCAGGCTGGATGAGGCTCTGAGCAGCTTGATCTAGTTGGAGATGTCCCATGGTTATGGTGGGGGGGTTGGACTAGATGACCTTTGGAGGTCCCTTCCAGCCCAGACATCCTATGATTCTGTGATTCTATGATCCCTGCTCCCCCTGGCCACCCTCTGGGGACCCCCCTGGCCTGCAGGCACCCACAGAGCTCTGGTGCTTCCAGCCCTCCCAACCCCCTCCTGCCCTGTCCCGGAGGTCTGGGGAGGGGAGCTGTGGTTTTGTGGCCAGGCTCTCTGTGGGGCCACGTCCCCCCTGATCAGGGGCTTGGTGCTCCCTGGGGGCCTGGGGACACGTTGCCCCTGCAAAGTGTCCCCTGTCTCGGAGCCGAGCTCCGAAAGGACCCTTCCCAAGGCCCTGGACGTGCCACCCTGGGAGGGGGCTGCAGCCAGAGCTGGTTCCTCTCCCACAGGAACCTCTCTGCCATCCAGGACCGAGAGATCTGTTGCTATTCCATTTCCTGCAAAGAGAAGGACAACATCGGTGAGTCCTGGTGGTCCCTGTGCCCACGGCGTGCCCGGGCTGTTTGCCCAGGCCCAGGAGGGGCTGGGGCTGGGGGGAGAGGCTCCAAGTGTCCCTTTGCCTTTGCAGACATCACCCTACAGTGGCTTATCCAGCACTCGAAGTCGAGGAGGGGCGCCGGGGGGCGGGAGGATGCCGTTGTACACGCCCCTGCCCCTTCTCTCTCCTGCTCTGTCCCTCCAGCTCTCTCTAGATGGGTATTTTTAGGGGACCCCAGACTCTGCTCGCGTTGAGGTGGAGCCCTTGTTTTTATTGTAAAGAAAATGTCCCACTGCCCTCCTCTCCTTCTCCTCTCTCTGTCTCTTCATCCCACTTTGGCACTGTTCTGTTGTTGTCCGTGTATACAGTATATATATATATGTATATATAT